AAATAAAACTTAATTCCAAAGTAAGCATAAGCTGTTGTGATAGGAGAAGGCAGTACAAACAAACGTAAGTACATGGTACATACAACTATTCCCACGTCAAGAAAATCAACATCCTTTTGACAACTGAATAGGCTGCAAAAATACCTGGAATGTATTATTTGTTAAAAATAGTAACCTTATCAGGTCAATACTAAACGATATTAAATACATCTACAGAATGCCGTATAATTCCAGTAACTATGAGTATGAATAACATGAAAAAATGGCGCCAAGTAGGTTGACTCTACACTTGCTACGAAACCTCGTCATCAGTTCGTAAAAGTTTGAGTTCAGCTCTTCAGGAAGAAGGTTCTATGATATGCGAATATAGCACTGTTCAGAATTAAACATAGACTTATTAAACAATAACTAATTAATCATGCTGATTGAAGCAAAATCAAATGAATGTCCAGAAAAGCGAGAACAACACTATCAGCTATTTTGCTTTGATTTTTGGAACTGTCAGAAAGAAAGAAACAGGAAAAAGAAACAACAGACAAAGATAATAAAAAAAAAATACAAAACAAAAAGGAAAAAACACATAAATAACATAAAAGTAAAAAAGTTGACTTATATTCTTCCCCACTGGTCTACAACCCCCACTCTCTAAATTTTTTTTAAGAATGTTTGGATTCTCTTCTCTTCTCACTTGCTGTGGTACTTCATATGTGCATTCATTTCGGGCCTGATGAAGCCAACCAGCAGAAATACGTATCGCTCGGGTTACCTATCCTATTTTCTGCTTGAATTCACTTTCCTCCTTTTTGCGGATTTTGCGCATTATTTTCCTACTTTTTGTTATATACCTTTCTCCGCATGCTTATTTTCTCTTATATATATATATATAGGGTGTCCGCAAAGTTGGGGTTTTCCTTTTCAGAAACAACTACCCTTGGAATAACAAAGGTAATGTGTAGTGAAACGAGGGCGACCAAGTAAAAAAAAATAAAGGAAAAAGTACTCACTCTCCAGTTGACGAGAAGGGCTAAGTACGTCTCTGCCCGAAATTATACCGCTCCAACAGAAAATGAAATCAGCTGATGCGCTACCGAGCAGACGCCGGCGGTGGTGCAGACCACGAACAGAGGTAACAAATAAGACGGCGTTGCCGCGTTTTCAGTTTTTAGGTAAACGTACTTTATAGGTATTGTTCGAAGTTATCGCCGTTTGATTCAAAAACACAGGTGCGTGCACGATGTAGCCAAGCATCGGTGCAGGCTTTGAGAATGGAGTCCCTCCCCCGAATGAAAGCACCAGCTTGTTCAATTCTGAGACGAAGTTCGTCAACCGTATGCACTTCAATTTTGTACACTAAGCGTTTCATTTCTCCCCAAAGAAAAAAATCACATGGTGTTAAGTCTGGAGATCGCGGAGGCCACGCTACGGGTCCATTACGTCCGATCCACCTATTCGGAAATAATTCATTCAAAAACTCACGCACTTCGCGTCTAAAATGGGGCGGTGCACCATCGTGCAGAAACCACATTGATTGTCTTACACTTAATGGCACATCTTCTAACAAGGAAGGCAAAATGTTGCGTAAAAAGTCTAGGTATTGCATCCCGTCCAATCGATTTGGGAGAATAAATGGTCCAATGAGCATACCGTTCACCATGCCAGCCCAAACATTGACCGAAAATGTTTGTTGAAAATGTGCCCGACGGGCAGCGTGCGGATTTTCTACTGACCAAACATGAGTGTTGCGAAAGTTATTCACCCCATTACGCGTGAACGTAGATTCGTCTGTCACCAATATGTACTTCAAAAAGTCCGGATTATTGTCATGTTGATGCAACGACCACTCACAAAACCGCACTCTTGCTGGAAAATCGTCAGGTTGAAGGGCTTGTACACGTTGGCCGTGAAACGGATACAGCCCCTCTTCACGCAGCGTTTGCTAGTGCTTGTTGAGGGATTCTCGTCTACGCGATTACCTCTAGACGCGTGACCGTAACCGTCGGTTGAAGGTTGCATACTGACCTGACACACTGACCCCGACCCAGTTCTGTCGTCGGGTTGAGCTAGTGTCCTAGTACCAGTCGGGGATGTCGCGGGTCGCGGCTACAGGACGGTATTCAGGTATTTTTGATGTTGCAGAGCCCTTTATCTCGGTTCCCTTAAGACATTGGTGTATATGTTACTTAGAAAAATTGCTTATGTTTTCAAGATCTACACGTCGTGTAAAGGAAAACCCCAACTTTGCGGACACCCTATATATATATATATATATATATATATATATATATAATGTGTGGAACTTCTAATGTCATATCCAATAATTGTGATATACTTGAACAGCATTTTTGGAGTAGCTAGGACTCACTCAAACAATCTATGATGTTTCTCACTTGAGTGAAATATGTTTCTTGCTTCTCGTTCCTTTAGATAGAATCACCTGCATTTTGTATGTTTTCCATTTTTGTTAGTTTGGTTTATATCTTCTTGGGATTGTCCTGTAAATGGTTCCTCTTAAGTGTTGGGCAACAAACGCTATTTATTTATTTATTTTCAAAAAGAGACATCGGAGAGGCTTTTTTGATTTGATGTGACATTGCACATTTAACGCATTTTTTTGTAAATAATATTTATTACTGCACGAAGCAGCTTAAAGCTAAATGAATCATCTTCTATTCTATTATAAAAAAAATAATATCTCATTTTTGAAATATTTCGTAATTTTAATACTTCCTCACCTAGTGGCGTAGTAAGTAGAATCAATAGTTTCAAAACGACTAAATGTTGAGTTCGTTACAAATATTTGAACGAGTCATCACAAAATTCGAATGCATTATCGAACGCACATACATTAATGTTCTGAAAAAATATGTACCATATTGTCGCCTTATACAAGTAACAAACATTTTAATCCCGTTGTCAGTACAGCTGATAATAGTGTTTGAAATTAATCATCTTAGTGAAAAATATGTTACGCAAATCTTTTTCCCACTTCCATTCATACAAGTAAAGCAATAAATCAACGTAAAACAACACAAGAAATGCAACGTTGAGTGATTTGCTTAGGCTTATGCACTTTTACAACCGTAATGTTAATAATAAATAAGCTTTATACATATATGTGCACTCCAATGCAAAATACCAGCAGGAAAATTAAACGATCTCTGATATTCTCAGAAGTATACAGTTATATACAAATATATGTGCCAAAATAAATGCTGTGCAGACACATAACAAAGAAATAAAACAGCTCGACAGTTTTTTACGTTTTTTTAAAATAGAAAAACATGTTTTTCCTATCCACTAGTATCTTGGAAACTCCTTCTCTTTATCAGCTACTAACCATACAATTTTATCAATCAGACAACAATTCTAAAAATAGAAAGAACGTTTCAAAAATACTTCTTATCTCTGCTGAACAATCCTAATGAGTCCGGTATTTTCCTAGCTACAGATGAACTAAGGATCACCAGACAGACTGACAGACAAGCTGACAGATATACTCGTACATTTAATGAAAATCTAGGTTGAAAAAGAGTCCTTTTAACAACAGTTGAGAAATTACTTTTGCGCTTTTTCAATATTACTTTAGTAGGGTTCATAAATGGGAAGCACTGAAAATAACTTAGTAAACATTGTGGTATTAAAATTTCTTCAATTTCAATTCTTAATAGTTTCACACCTTTCCAATACAGCACTGAAAATAACTTAGTAAACATTGTGGTATTGAAATTTCTTCAATTTCAATTCTTAACAGTTTCACACCTGTCCAATACAGCACTGAAAATAACTTAGATAACATTGTGATATTGAAATTTCTTCAATTTCAATTCTTAATAGTTCCACACCTGTCCAATACAGCACTGAAAATAACTTAGATAACATTGTGATATTGAAATTTCTTCAATTTCAATTCTTAACAGTTTCACTCCTGTCCAATACAGCACTGAAAAAAGCTTAGTAAACATTGTGATATTGAAATTTCTTCAATTTCAATTCTTAATAGTTCCACACCTTTCCAATACAGCACTGAAAATAACTTAGTAAACATTGTGATATTGAAATTTCTTCAATTTTAATTCGTGATAGTTTCACATGTTTCCAATACAGCACTGAAAATAACTTAGTAAGCATTGTGGTATTAAAATTACTTTAATTTCAATTCTTAATAGTTTCACACCTGTCCAATACAGCACTGAAAATAATTTAGTAAACATTGTGATATTGAAATTTCTTCAATTTTAATTCGTGATAGTTTCACATGTTTCCAATACAGCACTGAAAATAACTTAGTAAGCATTGTGGTATTAAAATTCCTTCAATTTCAATTCTTAATAGTTTCATACCTTTCCAATACAGAATCGTTTGTTTTGTATGGGTAAGTTAAAAATTTGATTTTACTGGTGAAGGTTGAAATGCGGCATTTAGAGTTGTCCAAACACAAATTGTTATTGATACAATATATTTGTAAAAAAAATATTTGTTGTTGGAGGTTTTCACAATCTTGCCAGCAACAAACAGATGTGTATATTGGCTTCAGCAAACTTAAGCTTGTTGGATGATAACGAACAGCGAAGATCGTTGACGTACAAAGCAAGTTATAGTGGACCCAAATTGGAACTCTGAGGTACACCACCACTTGACAGGATCTAAATTCATTATAGAATATATATTAAGTTCTCAAGTCTAGATAAGGCTCGAGAAGGTCCACAAAATTTTTGTTGAATCCCAAGTCTACTAATGTACATGTCATGTAACATCCAAAAAAACGTAACATCTTTTTTTCGCGATTGGCAATACTTCCGCTCTAGTAGGCGCGGGGGCTAAGAGCTCAGTATTCTAAGATTTCAGTGTTACGTAAGCTTTTCACTTTATTTTGAAAGGTGATCAGCATGTCACAACCAATCATGATAAACCTATTTACAAATTCGAAAAAACAATGGTCGGAAAACCTCCGGCAAACATAACTTTTCCAAGCTAACGAGAATGATGAGATTCAGCGACATTGTAAACATCCTGACGCGTATTTGCGATTGTCTTTTGGGATTAGAACCACTTATCTGCGAATGCATCTATAAAAAGAGCGTTGATATTTGGTGAAGTCAATCGAACTTCCGAAAACGAACGAGCAAGATGAGGGTAGAAGTGAGAATATTCGTGCTACTTTTTGGCGTTGCTTTGGCTGGGGTTATCCCAGAACAACATTTGGAAAACGGAATTCAATCAGGTTAGTAACAGTGCACTTATACCGCGTTTTCCAAGAAGGTGGTGGCAATCGGAAGCTCGAAGAGGGAGCAACCTATGTACCAGGAGCTATCGGTTAAAAAGTTTTATAACAAAAATGGCTATTAATTATTCTCAGCTTCCTAAAGTGAGCGTAATTAATGTTGTGATTTAATAAGTCTGTTATGTTGATTGCTCAATTTTCGAGATTTCCTCTTATTGTTATTTTTCCACATATTGTTAAAATTTTGGGTTATAAGCATTTGAAAACTTTGATAGTCTTGAGGACTTGTAATTTTGGTAACTGAAAATTTTGAAAATCTACAAAATTTTGAGAATTTTGAATATGAAAATTTTGAAAATTTTGAAACTTTTGAAAATTTTGAATATTTTGAAAGTTTAGAAAATTTAGAAAATTTTGAAAATTTTGAAAATTTTGAAAATTTTGAAAATTTTGAAAATTTTGAAAATTTTGAAAATTTTGAAAATTTTGAAAATTTTGAAAATTTTGAAAATTTTGAAAATTTTGAAAATTTTGATGATTTTAAAAATTTTGAAAATTTTGAAAATTGTGAAAATTTTGAAAATGGACCGGTGCAATCTAGCGGATACCTTAGGAAGCTGACAATTTCTGGCAATTTCTTTTGATATGCGATCCGATCTTTCTCTTGTTTCTTTTTGACTTTGACGAATTTTCCAAATCCGGTATTATTTTGGTGATAACTTTATTACTACATTTTAGAATAAAAAACAGACAAGACACATTACAAAAAGCAGAAAGGTCTGACTGACAACCTTTTGAATCTTCTACTTTTTCACATAACCTAAAATTCGAAAACTCACTTTTCAATAGACATTGTTAGTTATCGGCGTAACAATTATAAAAACAGTAAGAACGTTCTGTCATTTTCAGCGTATGTGCCGCAGGTTTCTTTAAAATTTTTCTACATATGTACGAGGGTGGTTCCAGAAGTACCCGACCCCACGAAGAAAACAGAAATTTTGTAAAAAAATGTACTTATTTTCAACATAATCTCCTTTGAGCTATATACACTTTTCCCAGCGATGTTCAATAAGTTCGATACCCTTTTTATAAAATTCACTGAAAACGTTCAGTATTGATGGCTACCAAACAAATACTAAACAACGTGGCGTCTTCAAACTTGACATATATGCTTTATAGGTTGCATACTTTCTAATACAATATTTTTCCAACAACTATCGCCATCTTTAGGTCATACCGGGTACTTCTAGGACCACCCTCGTATATACCAACGACGCAATGCTTCTGTAGAAACTCTAATACCTTTATGGATAATTTAAAAGCAGATGTATTGGAATGCGGAGAAAATACTCAGGCAATCACTATTTCGTTGCTTACTCTAAGAAATAATCGATATCTCGACAAGCATTCAACCTGAATTGACCTAAATATTCGGTTTCAGGTGATGTTGCACCACGTGTAAACAATGTAACATTGGAAGAAACACCAGCTGTAAAGAATGACACCCAAGAGTCTGTCGAAGATAATGTCGCTTACACCAAGTCCTCTGATGAAGATGATGCGGCCAAGCATACCATTGAAGATGGCAGTAGCGATGAAAATGAAAATCAGAAACACGATATCCAGAGTGACGAGGTCCACGACAACAGCGATGATGTCTTGAATGCTCACAGCAACAAAACTGAGTCAGATGATGAAGATGAGGACAGCAATGAAGATTCAGATTCAGATGATGTCTCTGAGCATACTGTTGGCAATGGAAACACTGGATATCCCAAGGAAAACGACAAAGAGAATGTCGATGCCCTTATCAAAGGTTCTCCGACACAACATGTAAGCAAGGAAGTTACGTCTGATGTAATTGAGCATGATAAGCAAGTTTCAAAGGGTGTCAGCCAAGCTCCTGTCGACAACCACAATATACAAGCTGTTGCTAATAGCAAAACCCCAGACTCGTATGAAGTAATCAAGCAAACTACAGGAAGTAACAAAATTGTTGACAATAACAACGTAAATCCTGCAGATCGCGACATTGGCGGAGTTTCCAGTAGCGATGAGGCTAGTGTTGAAAGCGATGTGGAAGAAACTGAACCCGAGGCCGATAACCTTATTCCGTTGGAGACCATCCTGCAAGCACTTAGCGACATCGCAAGCAAGAAGCGAGAATTAGAAGTGCTGAAGGAGCAAGAAAAGTTGAGGAAAGAACAGGAAAAGAAGGAGAAGGAAGAGCGAAAAGAAATATTGAAGAGAGAAAAGGAGAGGCTGAAGTTAGAGAAGGAGAAGGAGAAGCTAGAGAAGGAAAGAATTAAGGAAATTGAAAAGTCTAAGAAGGAACAAGAAAAAAGGGAGAAGGAAGAGCTGAAAATGCAAGAAAAGAGGGAAAAAGAGGAGAGGAAGGCAAAGGAGAAACAACTTAAGGCAGAAGAAAAGCTGCTCCTCTTTCTTGTCTAAGGAGAAAAAAGGGAAAAAGTTATAATGAAGAACAAACGCACAATAAATCATACGCTGTAACTAACCTGCATTCATATGTTAGATGTTCTCAAATAAACTTCCTTTACTCTCAAACACTGATGACTTATTTATGACACATAAAGTAATGTGTATATGCTTAAGACTAGCTACTCTTACGAACGAATGCTTGTGCAATTTGGTTTTCCATCCAATGTCTGTACAGTTGTTACCCATGGTGACGTGGCGCAAATGACAGATATGCTGATAGTAGATCGTTTTTCACAGTATTCATTACGTTTATAAAAACTTTTTTTCATATTTTTTAACAAGGAATCACCCTCAGAAATATCTCCGTCTATTTTTCGGACAGCCTGTACAAAGAAACGAGAGATTGTCTGAAATAAGAGATCCGGTATAGACGTATTGACTTTGTAGCCTTCCTTATCGTAAAGCCATTAGACGATTGCTTGCTTTGGGTCACTCTGTATTTAGATAAATCGTTTCTACTGCTCTATGCACCGACCATTCCGATAGCCTTTCATGCCATTTCCGCTTGGCCGATTCGCACTTAAATTCGGCCGCCACACAATTGAAGAATCGAAAGGAAATTGACATTTAGCTCGCTCTAGTTTAAAAACTGTCGGAATACGCTCGAGTACAGGCTATTATTATGGTCGGACGGACTTTCACGTTAAGAGTTATAATAGGGGCAGAGATATGGAAATCTTTGCATAAGGAAATCCTGCGATGTTGGCGACAGTATTTTTTTTTGTGGAATCACTAGATTATTACTTGTTAATGACAAGTGCAAATTGGCGTCTTGATAGGGCTGGAGTACTTGCCATCATTTGATAAGCGCGTAGGTTTGCAAATTTTCATATTTCTAAATTTTAAAAATTCTCTAAATATTTAAAACTTCCATTTTTCAAAATTTTCTATATTTTCTAAATGTTCTAAATTTTTAAAATTATCAAGATTTTCAAAATTTTACAAATTTTAATGTCAAAATTTTTAATTTTCAGAATTTTCAAAATGATCAAGATTTTCAAAAGAAAAAAAATTAAATAATCTCAGATTTTCTGAAAATTTCGAAGCCTTTGGCAACCTTGATTATTCTGAAAATTCAGAAAATTTTGAAAGTATTGAGAATTTTGAAAATTTGAAGAATTTGAAAAAATAGAAAAATTTGAAGAATTTCGAAAATTTCGAAAATATAGGATATTTTGAAAATTTTCAAATCTTTAGATAACCTTGGAAATTTCGAAAGTCGATAAACATTTTCAAGATTCTGAAAATTTTGAAAACAGAAAATTTTAAAAATCTGATTTTCAGATAATTTTTATTCTTTTGAAAATCTTGAGAATTTCGGCGATTTTGAAAATACAGAATATTTTGAAAATGTTTAAATCTTTCGATTATCTTGCGAGATTTCGAAATTTTATGAACATTTTTAAAATTCTGAAAATAGAAACAGAAAATTATAAAAATTTTTTGAAAATCTTGATTATTTTGAAAATTCTGAAAATTTTGCAAGTATTGAGAATTTTGAAAATTTTGAAAATTTTGAAAAAATTGGATATTTTGGAAATTTCGAAAATTTAGGATATTTCAAAAATTTTCAAATATTTTAATAATTTTGGAAATTTTGAAAGTATATGAACATTTTTAAAATTCTGGAAACAAAATTTAAAAATCTCGGATTTTCTGAAAATTTTTAGCTTTTGAAAATCTTGAAATTCTCAGAAAATCCGAGATTTTTAAAATTTTGTTTCCATAATTTTCAGAATCTTAAAAATGTTCATAAACTTTCGAAATTTCCAACATTATGAAAAGATTTTCGATTTTTTCAAATTGTTGAAGATTTTTAAAATAATCAATATTTTCAAAATTCTCGATACTTTCAAAATTTTCAGAATTTTCAAAATAATCAAGATTTTGAAAAGCTTCGAAATTTTCAACAAATATAAAATTTTTGAAATTTTTTGTTTTCAAAATTTTCAAAATTTTGAAAATGTTCATAAACTTTCGAAATTTTCGGGAATATCAAGATTTACAAATTTTCAAAATATCCTATATTTTGAAAATCCTCAGAATTTTCAACATTTTCAAAAGCAAAAATTTTCTGAAAATCCGAGATTTTTTAAATTTTGTTTCCAGAATTTTCAGAATTTTAAAAATGTTCATAAACTTTCGAAATTTCCAAGACAATCAAAAGATTTGAAAATTTTCAAAATGTATTTTCGAAATTACCAAAATTTCCATTATTTAAAAATTTTCAAAATTTTCATACTCTTCAAAATTTTTCAAACAATCAATATTTTCAAAATTCTCAATACTTTTGCAGAATTTTCGAAATAATCAAGATTTTCAAAAGCTTCGAAATTTTCAGAAAATCAGGTATTTTTAATATCTTCTGTTTTCATGATTTTCAGAATTTTAAAAATGTTCATAAATTTTCGAAAGCTTCAAGATTATCGAAAGAATTAAAAATTTTCAAAATATTCTGTATTTTCAAAATCCTCGAAATTTTCAAGATTTTCAAAAGCATAAACAGTTTCTGAAAATCTGAGATTTTTAAAATTTTATGTTATCAAAATTTTCAGAATTTTTAAAATGTTAATTAATTTTCGAAATTTAAAAGGTTATTTAAAGATTTGAGAATTTTCAAAATATCCTATATTTACAAAATTTTTAAATTTCTCAAATTTTTCAAAATTATTTTCAGAATTCTCAATACTTTTAAAATTTTCAAAACAATCAAGGTTTGCAAATTTTTTGAAAATCTTAGATTATTTGAATTTTCTGTTTCCAAAATATTCAGAATTTTAAAAATGTTCATAAACTTTCGAAATTTCCAAGATTATTAAAAGATTTATAAATTTTCAAAAAATCATATATTTTCGAAATTATCAAAATTTCAAAAATTCACGTGATTTCCTAAATTTTCACAATCCAAGAAATTTTCAAAATTTGTCAATTTTTCTAAATTTTCTAAATTCTCAGTCACCACAATCTTAAAAACATCCAAACTGTGGAAAATTTGTTATACGACACAGAAAATCAATCCAGTCTATGGAACGGTTCGTGAAGCGATTTCGTGAAAATTTTAAATGGCTCACCAATTTTTTATATTTATCATAGCTGTAGATTCCTTAACACGCTTACAAACATTACTGAAAGTAAAAGGAAGAGCTATCTAAGGCCCCGGAACATAGAGTATTCTGTTGACTTCATTCCTAATATTTTACACCTTTTACTATGATAAATATACCGAATTATACATATAGCTTCTAGAACTGTATTGCTATATGTATAGACGTTTCTATTATACTGAAAACAATGTTTACACCCGATCTCCATTTGACACGATAAGAAGTTTCCAAACCCATATGAAATATTCAGCACTGTTCATCTTCATGGCCCTTATAACTTCCCCGCAGAGTTCACAGAATCTTCAAGTCGATAAGAGGCCCGCCAAAGTTTCGAAAGCTTTTTAGTAAGTCGAAAAGTTGATGTATTATAGATCCCCCTTTCTGTGAATTTTTCTTGTAATATGGTTCATTTAGTATTAAGATGAGAAATGCAGTCTTCGCAACGACACAAAATAAAAGTTCTCGGGGATGTCTATTTTCTTCATTAGGACATACTAACAAAGAATAGCGAATAGTCGAATGAAGCCATTCCAATATCAATGAAAAAAACTACTTGTCACGAACGAGCAATAAAAAAAAAAACGAAAGAAAAACAATTAGATTACAACATCAAAATGCACAGGTCACAAAATATAACATTGACCAATATGAACACTTAGAAAATGAACACTTTAAATTTATGTAACAAATTCAATTATCATAAAAAACGGATATGAGGAATTTAGAATGCTACCAAAATCGAGAGCGACTTGTAACTTTGTACTTCATATAGTCACTAGTTACAAACTTATACATACATAGGCTTTTCACACTAAAATGTTCTATGTAAACTACTACAATCTAATATTAATGTGATATCTGGCAAAAATACAGAATAATACAGATAAGAATCAGCGACTATAACAAATTAGAAAAATGTAAAATGCGCCTGTAGAGTAAACTTCACCAATTCAGATACAAAAATTATTGCGGGTCTGTTCGTTTTCCCCGTTCGAGATTTCTCACTAAATATTTATAGAGCATACCAAGTGAGCGGGTTTTATTTCCGGGTCCCATTCGCATAGATGAGAAATTTTCAGTCATGGAGCATACGAAATCGCGGCTATATTTTCTGTATTTACATAGTACCGCACCCTGGAAACTCACAAGATCGATATGGCAGCGATGTTATCAAATATTCAGTTATAAAATTTTTGCTTGGTAAAGTTTGACACTGAAAATTACATTGCAAGAGCTTGAAGAAACTGTCTCAATAGGATTTTTTAGCTGCCTAAAGTTGGTAGAACTAGAAAAAACCTCCTTATGTAGAACAAAGGAGCGGTCGTATCGGCCAGTTCTGGATGTACGAAGTTCGACACAGGATAGCAGGCCGAAATCGAACGGGTTTACGACTTTTATTTATAGGGTTATTTATCAGACCAAAAGGGTTCAAGGAAACATACAGGTTGACGGGAAAATAGATGCGGAGCCGGTGGGGGGAGATAGTACAAGCCAATCTGAGTCGATTTTACCATAGGAACTACCTGTCCGAAAATTAGCCGTTTTCGAATTATACTAATTTTTAAGATTTTATTAAATTCCTTTATATACTAAGTGACATATAAATCCGAACACCCAGTTTAAATGGTTTTATTTTAATAAAATTTTGTATAAGTACTTAATGAAGCATAATAAGTAAATGATAAAAATTTCAAAATGATTGCACTGCTTTAAAGCCCTTTGACCTTTAATAATGTGTGGATGCACCCTGATGTGCTACGCATTCTCCAACGCGCCTAGGCATGCTTCTGATCACGTGGTCAATGTCCTCCTGTGGTATCTCATTCCAGGCAACCACCAACTCCTCTCGAAGTGCTTCTAGAGTCTGAGGAGGACGTTGCAAATTGAGCAATCTCCTACCCATCATATCCCATACGTGCTCAATTGGGGATAAGTCAGGAGATCTTGGTGGCCATGGTAACAAT